GAGATTCACAAAGTGCTGCGCCTGCCACGAAATCTGCACATCGAGATGCACAAAGTGCTGCGCCTGCCACGAAATCTGCACATCGGAGATCCAAAATGAGCAAATTGCACGAGGCTTTCGCAAATTTTCAAACGCGTTTCAGAAATGCTGTGCCTGCCACGAAATCATGCCTGCAGGTCATACGAAATGCTGCACTGGCCACGCAAAAGCATCCTCAAGTTCAAATTCCAAAAATGCGACCACTCTCACGAATTCACCCGTTTCACCTCAAAATATCGCATCCATGGTGCGGATGCCCTGCGCCTGCCACGTGAAACGCAATCCTGCGAATGACACACGCCTGCCAACGTTTTTGCAACGTCCACAAAACACTGCGCCTGCCACGAAATTTGCAAAGTCTCCGATTCCTTGCACCTGCCACGTAAAATGACCTTTTCGAGGCTCCAATGTGTCGAATTCCTTGCGCCTGCCACGCAAAATGCACTTCATGTCCGAAAACGAGCACGGCACCTGCAGGAGAGCTTTGTCCCGGAAGCGCGAAAGGCGCGGCCACCACTTTATGCGAGCCTGCGCAGTCGAAATGGACATGAGGAATTCAAAAAGTCACTTTTGTGCGAGCCGGCCCACGCAAACTGCCGCGCCCACACGCGCGAACCCTGATCTAAACCCGCTTAACTCTTACCGTAAGAACCCCTTAGTGCGGAGCACTATTTGGGGAAAAATTAATATATGCTAAATAGAGTGATAAATATTTTACTTCTTTGCCTAGTAGCATCTGGTAGCTATAATATAGAATCAAGTCCAACAGGAAGCTACGTATAGCAATAGGAAGCGTTCTCGGTTCTCCCTACAAGCACCTTGTGCTTGGATTCTTCAAGGAAGCTCCCTAAGCTCTTTGAACCTACTAACGATGGCCTCCAACCTACTAGCGATCGGCGATGCCTCCAAACTAGAAGCAAGGGCACCAGCCCATGGAAAAGATAAGAGTGTGCCACGTGCGCTGAATTCAGTTACTAGTAGCTTCTTGTTCCTAGTAGTAAGGCCAGGAGCCCCTAGTAGTGTTCTTTGCTCCTAGTAGCGATGCCCTTTGCTCCTAGTAGCTTTTTGCCAACTGTTAGGACGCTGTCCAGCCCTTGCAGCCAAGAATCCATGTGTCGTGATTGAGGCTTCTCACCTTGTGATTTGCCTTCCTTTCCTTTTCCCTCAGAGCAGAATGTCCACAACAGATTCAAGGCGATAAAGCTTCGAATGTTCTTCTGAACTAAGGCCTCGACTTTGCCCTTGCCTTTCTTGCCTCCTTTAGGGATGCGTTCCCCCCTTTGACCGTCTTCCCCTGGTCCACAAACCATCACATAGTTGCGATTGCAAATGTTCTCCTTGGAGCTGAACCACGCACGCTGCACGTGTGACTGCAATATCTGCTTGTCAACGATGCAGAATGAGCTGCATGCAAGTATGTCCAAATACTGCAAGTTGAACTTTTGACTTGAATGTGAATATATGTGAATGTGTATGTCTTTCCCCAATTTCTTCCAAGCTGCAACATGCTGTGGAATGGATGCGTCAGTGCCGATGCCGTGCTTGTCCATTAATGCTACCAATTCACTTTCTTTCCTAGGAACAAGTGCCACGCTAGTAGTAACAGGTGCCTTACTAGTAGTAACAATGTTTGCTATTAGTAACAAGTGCCTTACTACTAGTAACAAGAAGAATTTCGCTAGCAGTGTTTGCGGAAAAACAAGAAAGACACGTAGGTTAGTAGGATACTTAGTAGGAGTCCGTACAAAACAATGAACCTTGAAGTTTGAACATTGAGAACAAGAAACATGAGGTAGCAGTAGTGGACGCTACTCACCCAGCACACCGCCCTGATGCCTCAAGTTAACTATAAATCTTTATTGACATGGTTGACACACTGAACTGTGCGTTGTTTAAACTGTGCAGTTGTGGTGTCTCGTTTTGGTTTTGTCCAAGGCTCAAATAGTCTGGCGGTTTGGTAAAGTCACTCTCAACCCAAACTTCCTGAACGGCAAGGCTTGTGCCAGCTGATAATCGTGGCATTTGCCAATCGATCTCGTTCAAGTGCAAATCTTTGGTTTTCCACGGCATGGCAAAGAGGAACCCCCTGGCAACACAGCCAGGTACGGCTGCCAGCAGAAACGATACACAAAAAACAATGAAGGTTCTTTTCAGCGAACGGTCGGCAACATCTCGGAGGGGTTTTGCTGATTGGTGAACCAACACCATTAACTCGGTTTATGTTCCTTTCAATAAGGAAATACTATTTGTTTGACATTTGTTGATGAACTTTTGACATGTCGCGCTCTTCCATAAGGGTTGCAAAAAGATCAAAAAAGTCAAGGCTGCTCACCACGCCTAGTTCATTCCTAGTTCGTATCACCTATTCTCACTCTTCTGTTTTTCTTCGAGGATCCGACCCCAAGCCGTGTTGCAAGCATTGCGTATCCAAAAATTGTTCTTTTCCCATCCATATCCTACCAGCCAAATCTGTTCTACTTAATTGTCTAGCTAAATCTTGCCCCTTGCCTTGTCCCATTCTCTGCCTCAACCCCAAGCCATCCTTTGTCTTTGTCCTCTATCCTCTACCTTCTATCTGATTCTATCCATTACTCCGACGTGTTTCTGCTGAGTCTTGCGCGTGTTTCCGCGACCTGCATTTGTGCTTGCACCTTGCGTGCTTTCAGAGAAACCGCCTCCACGACATATACTTTGTTTCGCAGGAGCACCTCAAGCCAACCCACCTGACCTACCCGGACGACCTTTCTGCGCAGCATTGGCGTGGCCAAAAGTGTTGAAAGTGATCTATGTCGAGATGCGCTCCTGTTCCCCCAAGTGGGATAGAGCCGAGACAAGCGCAACAACGATTGACCTAGTCTGACACGGCCCGATTCGTCAGCGCATGTGTTGCGCAAATCAACACGTGAGCTCTGCCTCGTGGACAGATTCTTAAATGCATCAGTACTAGCCTTGCGCACGCTTCCAGGATACTGAGAACTTTCACCTCTCGAGATGCCTTCAAGTTCTTGGTCAGCTCTTCCACCATTTTGTTGGCCCGAAGATTGCGGTAAGGTCGCTTTCAAATGCCCGTGGCGCGAGATATGCTGCCGGAGTGGCCTTGCACTATTAGCATGTTGTGCTTCTGCTTGCTCTTCTCTTCCTCTTCCAGCCGCAGTTTGAGCCCACACAACTAATCCCTCAACACCCACAGCAGCATCCTAGAAGAACACACATCTCAATGTGAAAGCAGCGCAATCACATCCCTCACCTGCACAGAGATAGGAAGCCACCTCCTTCCGAACAACCCAAAGCCTCGCGACAACGTTCTGCAAAGACTATTCCATGTAAAGGCCTTCATGCGAGAGTAAGAGCACGCACAATCACGTTTGTGCACTGGCGGACGCTTATGGACACGTCTGCTCACGAACGCATCATCACCCTTGCACGTTCCATCTTACGCGGGAACCCTTCTGCTACACATTTGGGAACACAATTAATGAGCTGTGCATTTTTGTCTGTCTCTTCTTTCCCAATGTTTTATCTGTGCTTTTTCTGCTATTTTCTGGTATATCATGTTCTGAACATGAAAGCAATTGAAAGCCGTCCCAGCCTTTCCCGCATCTCGTGGTAGGTATAGCAAAAGTCTTCTCCTGCTACTTTCACGATGAGTGCCTGGAGCTAATTCCGTGAGAAGTTTTGTCTCAAAATGTAGGCCAAACAGGCAAGACGTTCAAGTGTTCGCGCATGTCCAGCATCGTTTTTCGATGTTGAAAGAAAATGGGTTGGGAAACCAAAGGCACTTGAAAGCTTGATAGTGGAGGCCTTCTCTTCATATTGGACATCTGGCATCAAGGATGAAATGAAGTGCCGAGTAATGTAGTCGTACAACCTCCATTCAGAGCCTGAGGCAGAGGATGCTATGTTGGAAGGCAGAGGCAAGTCGGACTGTACAAACATGTTACAACAGACAAGTCGGAATGGGAGAGGATACAGTTAAATGAAAGCACAAAAGGGGGAAGGCTGGTCTAACCTTTCTTTTTTGCACATGTCATGTTTTTCTTTTGCTCGAAGAACTGGACATGTTGACATGCTCGCACATGCTCGCACTGTCCCAGCTTCCCAGCCTTTGCTGAATTCATCCCTGGGAGCCGCTTTCATCGGAGTGATTGGAGGATGATCACCGACATCTCGCCCAGTCTTCGGGTTTCGGATCTGCCCTTGTCTCAGTAAATGACTGACGGTCTTCCCCCAAGCCTCGGGAACATGCACAGGAGCCCCCTAGTAGCTGCGCAAGTTCCGTGAGTAGTAAGGCCAGGAGCCCCTAGTAGCGTCCTTGCTCCTAGTAGCGATGCCCTTTGCTCCTAGTAGCTTCTTGCTCCTAGTAGTACACAAAAATGTCCTGTGGCTTTCACTCCAGTCGCGATTATACAATTGGAGCTTCGAAAAAAAAGGTCGTCTGCACCATGCACTATGCAAAAGGCAAGACTAGGTGACTGGGCAAAGCATGGCAAAGTATTCAGGGCTTGCCAAGCAGTTATTCCTTGTTTCCACCCAGAGGTTCGAGGCCATGGCTGGATGGTCGGCCTGCTCTCGCAGTGCGGCATGAAGATCAAAAGTGTCAGAGTACCTTCAGCGATGCTTCCTTCAGCGATGCTTACTTTCTTTTCGCTTTCTTTCCTTGTGCTCTTTATGACTTTACTAGGTGGAGATAGCTAGTTTATGACTTTAGTAAAAGGATAAGGATGCTATATAATACTTTGGAAGCTCCTGCGCCCCTCAGAAACGCTTTCTGGATGAACCCATTGGATGGTTGACTTTTAGACACCTTAGACCCCCTATGACCCTCTTGTCTTGTCTTCCTCAACGTTTTTCAACATCTTGCACGCGTCCTTTTTACTATTCCTTTTTGCTTCAAAGAGCGATGGCCTCCACCCTTGTATAGCGATGGCCTCCAACCTAAGAGCGATGGCCTCCACCCTAGTA